GCAGCCAGCTGCCCGGCCGCCATCCAGCACCCAACCCAGCCGCGTGTGCAAAGGAAAAGAAGTGGTAAAAAGAAAAGGCTTGGTGAGCACGATCCGGCCATGCTGTGCTTACGCTGCTGCTTGGAAAGCAGCTGGGAAGGGCAGAGGAGCTGCGTCCAGGCCCCGGAGGGCTGGGGCTGCTGGAACCTGTCTGGCAGAGGCGAGGGACGATGCTGCTGAGCTTGGAACGTGGCCTGGTGATGGGGTCTGGCAGCTGAAAGGTCACTACGCAGGCAATTTTCTGCTTTTCTCTCCTCTCGAGAAGAAGCTACTGTCAGCAAAAAGGATGATTGATGAAAGCTTTGTGGCAGGAGCCTGCGGCAGGGCCGGGGCAGAGGAGCCCGTCTGGGGTGTGGGAGCTGCAGGCAGGGGAGGGCAGCAGCCCAGCCCAGCAGTGTGGTGATGCCAGCCCACAGGGACTGCAAGTGGCCACCCAACACCGCCCCCCCTCCCCCTGACTGCACATCACTGCCGGGCTCAGCGTCACCAAGTGCCATGTTTCACCACCTGATGAGATAGCTCTTGGCCACGGCACCGAGCGCAGCGGCCCAGGATGGAGGGACGGGGGGGGGAGGGGTGGTGCTCAATGGTCAACGGCTCGATGGTCAACAGCTCGATGTCCAAATGGACGCCGGTGACAAGCGGTGTCCCTCAGGGATCTGTACTGGGACCGGTGCTGTTTAACATTTTCATCAATGACTTAGCGAGATCGAGTGCACCCTCAGCAAGTTTGCAGATGACACCAAGCTGAGTGATGTGGCTGACACACCAGAAGGACAGGATGCCATCCAGAGGGACCTGGACAAGCTCGAGAAATGGGCACGTGTGAACCTCATGAGGTTCAGCAAGGCCAAGGGCAGGGTCCTTCATCTGGGTCGGGGCAACCCCCACATCAACACAGGCTGGGGCATGAGGGGATTGAGAGAAGCCCTGCCGAGAAGGACTTGGGGGTACTGGTGGATGAAAACCTTGACATGAGCCACCAACGTGCACTGGCAGCCCAGAAGGCCAGCCAAGCCCTGGGCTGCATCAAGAGTGGCGTGGACACAGGGCGAGGGAGGGGATCCTGCCCCTCTGCTCTGCTCTGGTGAGACCCCCCCCGGGAGTCCTGTGTCCAGCTCTGGAGCCCTCAGCACAGGACAGAGCTGGAGCTGTTGCAGGCTGCCCAGAGAGGTAGTGGAGGCCCCATCCCTGGAAACATTCCAGGCCAGGTTGGATGGGGCTCTGAGCAACCTGGTCTGGTGGATGATGTCCCTGCTCACTGCAGCGGGGTTGGTCTAGATGGCCTCTAAATGTCCCTTCCAACCTAAAGCATTCTGTGCTTCCATGATTCTATCTCCCAGATCTTGCAAACACCCTCCGGGACCTCCTGGGTCTTGCGTTTTCCTTGGCCTTTGCAGAGCCGTGGCCTCATCCTGTGTGCACGGCCACCTCGGGCCCCGGCACGACACCCGGTGCAAAACCCTCCTGCGGAGTCTGTCAGTGGCTTTCTACCTTTCCCCAGCAAACGGTGATGTCCAGTCCCAAAGGGAGCCGTTATAGAGCACGGGGGCTGCTGCGTGGTTCACTGCCCTCCGTGATGCCACTACAAACTCGGTGTGACATGCCAGCCCCCCGGGGAATGGGGACAGGATGGGGTGGCACTGGGTGACAGAGCTCTGCGGGCAGTGCCACCAGCAGGGAGCTCAGTGGGATTCAGAAACGTGCCGTGCCGTTGGGAAAGGCTGGTGGGAAGCGAAAATAAACAGGGACCCCCCCCACCTCACAGCCAGCCTGTCGTCACCCGTCCCATTCTCCTCCACATGGCCACAGTGTTTTACGGTGGTTTCAATTGCCTTCACATTACGAATATTTGGGGTGTTTCCCACCAGTGACCTTTTCTGCATTGTTTCTATTAGCGTAGCAATAGATCATTTCCCCTCTGCCGTCAACGCATTCTGTGAGGGTAGGAAAACATGGGAGAGCCCAAATCTGATATCAAAATGCGGAGATGGGCTGGCTGGGCTGTGAACAGCAGTGAAGGGCTTGGGCTGGTGGGAGAGGTGAGAGCCCTGCATGCCTGCTTCTTCCCTTCCAGCCACTGAAAAGCTGGCAAAAATTGCCACGAGCCCAGAAAACCCCTCCTGGACTGGAGACGGCTGCGAAGGGAAGGAACACGGCAAGCCGTCCGTGGCGAGAGGTTGCATGGGGCATGCTTTGCTCTGAGCTGGGTGCCAGCAGCCCAGCGGGTGCCCTGCTGCGTGGGGCCTCCCCGTCAGGAGCAGGGATGCTGCCTTCGGACGGGTCTGAGGGACAGGCTGGATCTCTGCATGGGAGAAAGAAAGGAAAAAGAAAAATGGGTGCAAGCAATCCAATTGTCTGATGGAAAAGGAGAAACTTGGAGGGCAGGCAGAATGGGCGGGCAGCTGCCTTGTCCTGGTCTGGTTACCTGTGACCAGGAGTGCGTCCTTAGGGACCAACACGCGACCCAGACGTTGGGCAGAGAGGCTGCAGTCCTCGCTCCGATGGAGGAGCAGCGTTGCCCCGCAGCAGGGCAAACCCTGGGCATCCTCCCTGCCTCCTCTTCCTCCTGCCTGCTCCGGGACGCACCTCTGCGGGCAGCACAGCCCCTGTGCTGAGCGAGCCCTGCGTGAGCGTCCCCCCTGCCCTCCCGGGTCCGGCCCCAGTAAACCACCCGCGGAGGCTTGCTCCGGTCTGTCGCAGGCGGGGACCGGCAGGAGAAGGTGTGATAATCCTCTCCTTTGAGGCCAAAGTAATTGTTCACACCAAACTGCAAGCACGTTTGTATCAGTCATGAAAAACAAGAAAGACAACAAAAAAAGCACTATTTTTTTATATATATATTCAATCAATGTCTGTGGAGCTTAACGCAGGGGGATTACCAGCCAGTTTAGAGCATTAGTGACTCTCAGCATTCATCAGAGGAGAACATTTGGTTGAATTGAAGCCAGCCTTTGATGGGATTGGAGAATAATTATTTCCATCAATAATTACTTCCAAGCCCAGAAGAAATGGTTCCTAGCGTGTTGCAGGACAGAAGTCCTTGGCTGCCTCAAGGCCAATATGTTTTAACCCCAGGACCTGAAAATCTCGTTAGCAGGAGCGGGGACCGGGGTGAGAGGGACATCACCGCCCCTGCCCAGGTCCCTCCTGCCAGGCAGCAGTGCCCCAACACGCTGCCAGCCCGGGGAGGAACCCCCCCTGCCTCCGCTGCTGGAGCTGATCCAGCCCAGACTTTGCACAGGTCATTAATTTGGGGACATTTTTAATGGATCCTAATGACTGAGCCTCAGAAGGCTGTTCTTAAAAGGGGTTCGGGAAAGGCCACAAGCTAATTAGCTTGCACAAAGAAAGCAATTAACCATGTAGCTTCCCGGATGGTAAAAAATAACATAGATGTTGGGAAGCGACTGAGGGATTTATTGCGAGCGGAGTAATAGATTTTTAAAGCCAGAGGGACCGTCACCTCCAGCATGTCCTGGGACAGCAATATTTCGCCCAGCTTCCCCCCATTGACCCCTGTCGCTTGTATTTGGCTGATGCACTCCTCGAGTGTTCAGGCATCACAAAATGGGCTCCGAGAAAGAGCCAGCTATCAGAGAAAAGTGGGAGTTTGTTGAGAGAGGAAGCACAGGTGGACAGAGAGGGGTGACCCTTGGTGCTCCTGTGCCGACTCCAGCCCCAAAAAGTGTTGCTCAGGGCTGGGGCAGGCAGCAGGATGTTCCCCGGGGCGTGCAAGCCTCTGGGCCCCCTACCTGGGGCTGATGTGCCATTTTACCATCCCCTTGCTCTTTAACCACCCTCTTGGCCCCGTTTGACCCCCAGCATGTGCAGCGTGCGGCTGGCCCCAGCCCCTTGTTCCCAACCCACAGCCCAGGTCTGATGGCTGTGATGGCCTCTGCAGGCGAAACCCCAAAGCAGCACCCACAGCCCGTTCCCAAGACTGGCTTCAAAACGATAATGGGAAGAAACGGGGACGCTTTCACTGTCAGCTGAGCCCAACCTGCCGCCGGTACCACCCCACAGCCAGGCTGGGCTTGGACATGCCAATGCTCGCTTTATTTATTTGAATAATACTCGGGATGACAGCAAAGCCATAGCGTTCTCGGTGCCCCTGCCGGGTATGGTTTATGGCTTTCCATTAAGCTCTTCGTTCTTTGAAATAAACATCTGCAGGGCCTGGAAACCTATCTGCTTTCCTCCCAAGTGTCTGGACTCGGGCTCATTTGGGTTTGTTTTCTCCATTTGGCTGCTTTTCTCCATTTCAGCTTGCCCTGACCAAGCCCTGGTGTTTCTTGGAGACCTCTCACCCCAGGCTTTCCCTGCCTGTCTCTGCTCCTCGCCAGCTCTCATGGTCTCCCCAGGGCTCTCGCAGGCACCTGCCTGGCCCAGGTGGTTCCCCTTAGCTCTGCTGGGCTGTCCCAGGTTTTCCAGTTTGGGCTTTCAGCAGGTTTTTTGGCCCAGCACCCTATTTGAAGGAGAGGGGAGGAGGGCTGTTTCCTAGCTGCCAGAAGTTTGTTTCCACCTGAGTGCTGGCAAGGGAGATGGGATGAGGATGGGGTGAGGTATTGGCAATGCAATAGCAGGTTTGGAGAATGGCATTTGAAATGCAAAAGCTCTTTTTCTACCAGAATATAAAACTAGTGCTATCTCTGCAGAGCTGGTGAGCTAGAACCCTCAATGCAGAGGAAGATGTCTGGGGTTGCTGGTCTGATCAGCTGCTCCTTGGCTGCATGATGCTTGTGGCATCTCTGCCCATGCTGGGACACAGCTTGGCTTGGAAATGGGGACTTTCTGGAGCCTTGCAGGAGCATCTCCTGCCGCAGGCAGCCCGAGAGCAACCTGCAGCTCTCCTTCACAGCAGCGCAGGAGGTCCTACCTGCAGAAAGAAAGGGGGTTCCCTAGCGCAGGGGACAAGTCCGGCTGTAAGGACGGCTCTTCATTGCTCGCTCTCCCCGTAGCTCCTGCAGTGGGACTCTCAGCTGCCTGCCGTACCCTGCCGAGGACAGACGTCCCGAAAAGCTGAGCGGCCGTGCGGTCAAGGAGGCTTCTGCCACGAACGGCTGTGCCAAAGGGAAGGAGAGACGAGACCATGCTCGCCGCAGGTCACACAGGTAGGAGCTGGGGCTGTGAGCGGGGTCACCCCAAGGTGGGGGTGACAGCAGGCATCCGTGCCTGTTCACCCAGCTTTGGCTTCATTAGGACACAGCTTCGTTATCAGAGTGTCATTAGCACCTGATAACTTCAGAGGGGAAAAATGAATCGAATGTTGTAAATGAAGCAGCTAGGTCCTCTGAGCCCTGCCTGCTAAACTGTCTCTGGGATTAAAGCCGCTCCCTTTGGTTGAAAACGCTGAAAAGAAAGAGCAAGAAAAGCACTTTTCATATCTTCAGATTTCAGGCTAACCAGAATGATCATCTAAAACATGTTTTTTAATTAGACTTTGATTACAATCGCGGAGAAACAAAGTCAGCTCGGCACAGGGAGGGAGCTTCGACACCAGAGACGAAAGGCTTTTTGGTGAGAGGGAGAGGGGCTCTGCAGAAGCTGCCTGCGGCCAGAGCTTTCTCCCCGCTCTCCCCTGGCCCTGGGTGAGGGGACCCGAGACGCACCCAGACCTGTGTGCCGGGGAGCCCGATCCGCGCTGGGGGAAAGCATGAGGGAGCTGGGGCTGAGACCCTCGGGGTGTCTTTGGGCAGACGGCTGAGCTTGGCAACGACGAGCTGTCTCGGAAAACGTATTTCCTCTACGTTACTGCAGACCACAGACCCGCTAAGCCCACGGTGTGCCGTACCTCCTAGCAGTGCTGCCGGCTGGTGGAGTCTGGAGGAGGAGAGTGAGGAGCAGTGTTTGCGTGCTGCTCGGGGCTACTCTGTGGTTGCACCTCGGTTTACTGTGCCCAAAGCTCTCTGTTATTCCCCGTTCACAACCGAAGCGTTAGCGTACAGTTTTGCTTTGCAGAGCAATTAAACAAACAACGTGTATTAAAAGCACCAAGCAATCGGCTTTTTGTGATAGTGCAATTTTGGCAGTGATTCAAGCCCTGGGTGAGTAAGTGCTGGGGGGCAGCGGAGCCCGAGTTCCCCCATCACCGCCTCCAACGGGTCAATGTGCTGTGACGTTCGCTCCGTGTTAGGGCTCTTGATAACGGTAATGCTCATTCTTTCTGCAGAAACTGCGCAGTTTTCAGCTGGTTTCTGCAGCTAAGACCCCACGGCATTTTCCAAACCTGGGGCTTGCTTCAAATGTCCCCCACTAGCAGCTCCTCTTGCTGGTGTGGCGAGAAGTGGGGAAACTGAGGCACGAGCCCAGCACCCTCATATCCAGTAGGGATTTTTGCAGAGGCCCTGGATGTGCCCCCCACAAATCTCAGTCCCAGATCTGCTCCAGGATCCACAGACAGATCTGGGGATCAATTAGGGGACCCAGGGGCTGATTTGGGGATTAACCTGGGGATCCGCAGCCCGCCACCATCTTTATGAGCGGTTGCTTTGGTTGGTGAGTAGCCACAGAGTATCTGTCGTATTTTCAGTCCAGTGCTCTGAGTTAATTTAACAATGATATTTGCTTTTTGTTGAAACATAACACAATTCAGGGCCATATGTTTAAAAAAGAAATTAATTTACAGGAGTGTGGTTTTTTTTTTCCAGGGTTTAACAACTGTGTAAGAGATGCATATCTCATTAAATTACCATAGCATCTCAATAAATATATATATTTCTAATCAATTGCTGTTTAACATGTGTCAAGTCTTTCATTATAGTTAGATGCATCTGGTTGCAATAATTATTGCATGCAAATTGAATGCCAATTAATTATTTAAAGCATATTTACAAAGAGCAGCAAAACCTATAAATCTGTGATAGAGTCATTAACCTCAGCAAACACGTTTTAAATAATCATCCGGCATCACCGCGGCGTACAGTCGCTGTCTCGTTATATCTCCATTAAACCCATGGAGGAGACACTTCATTTAAACTGTGACCAAATTATTTGTTAGGGGGTAATTAGGTCCACTGTGAAAGCCAGTCTCTCTGCCCTGGATGTCCCCGAGGTGGGGACAGTGGTAAATGGGGGGGAGCAGTCCTGTCTGAGCGGACTCGCTGCTTTTATTTTGATTATTTTAATTTCTTTTTGGTTTCCCTCCTTTCTCAGCCCCTCATGCAATGAGGAGCGTGTGCCACCGCCGGCCCGCGGGAAGAAGAAGAAGAAATCCGGCCGCAAGAAGCGAAGGAGGTGAGGGCGGCCATGGTGCCTTGTGGTGCAGGGCGAGCCCTCGGCTGTGGCAGGGGAAGGAAGCTGGTGTGAAATGGCGGCTGGCTGCTCTGCGAGGGGCTGGGGGTCGGCTCAG